AGGGGAGCAGGAAGCCAGGGAGTATCCCCCATCCCAGAAACGGCGCTGTAAGGCGCCTGCGGCCGAGGTGGAACGCGAGGTGGTAGAGCCATGCCGTGCTCCTCCTTTCCCACCAGCCCTGCCAAAATCCAAACTAGGTGTTTGGAAAGGAAGATGACATTTTAAATTTTAAAGGTTTGTTTCCAGAACCTTTAGTTTGAAATAGCTAAAAAATAATACACGAGTCAGGTGGGGAAGACAGGGAGTCAGTGCTGATTTAGACTCTTGGCTAATCATTGCTAATATCTTCTTTGTAAGAGATGGATCCAGGAGAACTTCGGTTCTTAATCCCTTGTAGGTCCTGACTCCAAATTTTCTAGGATTTGAGAATGATTTAGTGGCCCCATTAAAATTCAGGGAAATCATTATCGATTCTATCTATCTAAAGCGCAATTACTGTTGTGGAAAATGAGGACAAACAGAACACAAGCACTAGGTTCTGAGTGAGCATCCATTTATATTCTGTACCTTGCAAAAATGTACAGTTGACTAAGGCTTGTTTTAGTGAACCCTATTTTTAATTTCAGTTTATAAATATTGACATGGTCATTTACTTGTTATCTGCACTATTTCATTCTGTGTGGAAAACCAAATGCTTCTAAATTTTGGAATCATCAAACTTTTTTTCATTGACGATTTTGCTGGAGAATGTTAACTGAATAGAAGCTTTTTTTTTTTTTTTGTGAAGAGAATACAACATATTTTACAAAAAGCCTACAGATTTTTCCTGCTAATATAATCAAGTTTAGCAACAAGTTTAACAGCGTTAAACTATACAGACTTTGATTTCAGTGAAATGCAAAAGGAAATATTAATGCTTACATAGGATTTTATAGCAGCGTCAGATGCATAGAGCAAAAAATTCAAGAAAAAATACAGGAGCAATTTCTTTTACATTAGCACCCACGGAGGTAAGAAGCTGTTAGATGTCAAACCTAAAAAAGCCTGATGTCAAAAGAGCAGCCAGGCAGTCACTGGGCTGGTTCCCCTCTCTTGCCAGTGACTCACCAAGCCTAAAGTTAAATAAGTTTCATATGCAATGGCACATGAACTGCAGTCTGTTCGGGCTTAAGAATTTGGAATGTAGTTACTATTGTTAGTTATGAAATAATTGCATTAGAACATGCGTATTTTCCGTGAAAGCCCTTCACTCCTGTGGTGTTTGGGATTTGTCCCAAGGAATTGAATCCTTAGCCTGTGGAAAATATGGCATAAATATTCTTGAAGGGCATAGCTCTCCCTGAGTAAAGTCTCCGTTAATGTCAGGCTCAGGCACACTTGTGCCAAGGAGACCTCTTACCACTAACTGTTATTTATTATATTATATACCTATGATAGGAAGGGAGAATGGATTTCGCCACATCATGCCCAGCCTTTTCCCAGCACGTGCCCTGCTCTGTTGCTGCCCGCCGTGGTGTGGTGCTGGCTGGGGAACTTCATGTGCCAACAGTTCCTCAGTAATTGCAAAGTTCAGAGCCACCTTGCAGAGTGCTGACACTAGGACCACCAGTGCTTAGTTCCAGCTCTGTGAGAAGGATCATCGATGGTTGTAGATTAGCCTGGGACACTCTGGTCCCTCTGGGTTGTCTGTGCTATCCCTGTCAAGTCTCTTTTATCTTTGTCTGTGTTTAAACTGGGGAACACGGGAACTTTTTCAAGATCCTGATCAGGAGTTTGCCCCAATGCCATAATAAAGTGAGACTTACCAGCTTTCTCTCATACAGTCTAGTTTTATTGCAAATAAAATTTTCTGTGGGACTAGGCGTGGATTACAGCTACCCTGCCCAGGAATGGTATGGGAAGCAGGACCACAGGGGTTACAAAACAAATCAATTTAGTTCATCTGTTTCTGGTCCTGGTCTGTAACAGAGTACGTACACCAGAGGCTGTGTTTCTACAAGAATAAAAAGTCAGTAAGCATAGCCTGGCATGATTTTGGTTGGTAATTTAAGACTATTTTACTAACCAAAACAAATCAGACTATAAAATGAGATTATTTATCTGCCCTAGTGGCTAAAAACAAAATCATAGAGATTCTATAAGAAAAGCATATATGACACTTTCCCTCTCTCTCGTCCTCCAGCTCAGGGCGTTTCTAATTCAGAGAAATTGTCTTGTATTTAGTTGCCCCCAGTGGTTTTTCCCTGAGTATGTTTACTCTGAAGGCTTTGAATACCCTGCACCAAGGACTTGGTGCTACCGTGAGCGCACAGAGCAAACAGATCTGTGCAGAGGTCAGGGAACGGGTGCAGGTACCCAGCTGTGCTCTGCAGCTACCAGCAAGACCACAGGGAAACAAAAGAGGGAAAGGGCAAACTCTGCCCAGAAGAGCTTGGTCTCTGCTCAGCAAGATGCAGCATGGAGAGTGCAAGCAGATACCTGGGAGATGTTGGGAACATTCCTGTGCCAGGACAAGAACGTTTGCTGTCATTACCCAGGCCTGGGGATGAAGTCCTGTACCTCAACAGTTTTCCTATGTTCTCAGATCCTTATCACAATATATCTATATTCAAAAATTCAGTGTGATGACATCTGAGGTTGTTTTTGGTCTCGAGTTCCTAGTGACTGAATTATCCTTCATTTAGCCTTTCTTTAACCCTCAGTCTAGGTAGATTTGTCAGCGCAAAATGACATTGTACCTATAAAACATCCTTCTGTAGCGAGCAGAGGCAATGAATGCCAAATACCTAGAGCATGGTACAGTCTTTGGTCCTGCTCCACATTATGTCCTCCAGGCAAAGGAGAGAGACCAGATAGACTAGATGGGTCTATTACAAGATTTTTAAAAGGCCCATTTTCAGACTGCATCCAAAGGATCATTTTTGAGGTCTCCTTGTCCTGTTAGAGACTTTCATAGAGGGGGTACAATGTTGGGCCCATCTTGAGCAGTAGGTTCATCAAGGATGCAAATGGTAGACTAGAGAAGATTATGAAATTATCTGGAGACAAAAAGTTTGGCAATAATAAAAGGTTGCTTGGGTTCCATCTGTGTTGTATTGGAGAATGTGATTAGCATCCACAAAACTCATGTTACCTCTAAAACTGTTTCCACTGAGATCTTGGTATTTGCAGATGTTAAGATGACTGTTTTCAGCACTGTGATTTCTGCTTGGTTAAATGAAGAAGTAAGGTTTTATTGAAATGAAAATGCATGTCTCCTTCCTCAGCTATTCTGGGCTCTAAGGAGCTGTCTTACCTGAGAGGCCTGATCTGCCTTTGCTGCAGACGAGCAGCACGCACAGGCGGTGGCAGAGGACCAGCTGGTGTGTGGTGGCTTCTTCACTGGTGCTCTGCTGGCTCCGTCCGTTGGGTTTCCTTGTGTCACTGCATTGCTGCCAGGCACCTACAGAGGTGCAGCACTCCCACAGAGTAGTTTGCTGGAGGTTCAGGCTGGATTCTCAGTCCAAACAGATGCAACTGCTAGTGAGGCTGGCCAAAAAACCTGACCCATCATCTTTAACATTTCTCACCCATATTGTGGAGAAACACAGCAGAGGTCAATAAGAACACAGTGTTGCTGTGGTACTGGAGTTTTTTAATATAATTTTGAAGGGTTTTTAATTCACCATGGATTTTATAGCTGTTAGCTGCAGATGATGATTCCCTTTGCAGATTAAGAAAAGGTGCCATAACATAAATGATTGACTGGGTGTCACCGCCGTGTTGTGACAGGCCGTCTTCCAGCAAAGAGCGACTGATGACATGTTTAAAACCAAGCCATTATATGTGCTGTTGATATAAAGCCCTATTTAAAATGGGGGCTGTCAGTCAAAGTGCTGATTGCTTACACAGCGCTATAGTCAGCGCGCTGAAAAACGTGCTGGAGTAAATGTTTGTTCTGAGCTCGAGACAGCTTTGACTTGTTATTTCCAGCCTTAACCTAGCTGTAATAAAAGCATCGATTCCATGCATTGCCACAAGCAGGAGGCTTCAGCGCTATACGTGGCCTGACACGAGCCTGGCCTGACTACGGAAGCAGAGGGAAGTTCACCTGGCCTCATATAACTTTGTGGTGTGCACGTTGGGTGGCAAGTGAATGGCAAGTGTTACTGCAACGGCACCGAAGTGCAGATCCCGGGATCCCTGTGGCTGTCAATGAGGGGCTTAGCGGCAGGAAAGGGACACGCACGTGCGTCAATGTTGTAACGACACAGCGCAAAAAGGGACTTGCCTTTTCACCTGTTCACCTGACAGTTCTGCCTTGTGCTGCAGATTGCGTCCTTGTACAGATGGATAGCTGGACATGCCAACAAAATAGGCCTTAAGTACCCACACCACTTAGCACCTAAACACCTTTTCCTTTCTATGCCCCTCGTCTCAATATCGGCCAGAAAATCTTTTGCCATTAACATTAATCCTAATGTTAGGTAGTGATATTTTTTCTTTAATTTATTCTATATTGAAATAGATTGTCTATCATTTTTACTCTTGTACATGTGTGAATTAAACATTATACTGTAGTACTTCTACCTGCCAACCCTGTTAGGCTGTGGGCATTATTTTGTACTGTATATTTGTCTATATTTATTTAGCACTTTAAAAAAATTAGTCTGATTAAAGATAATCCTTAATTTTATAAATATGATGCTTTATTTACTTTTTGTAAACAAACAAAACAAATGAAAAATTGGAACCAGTACCACCTCTGGTTTCACAAATGAAGGAATTCAGAGTGGGTTGTCACTTGGACTGGGCCCTGCGCATGGCATTGGAATCCCCAGAAAAGCTTCCTATCTTGCATTTGTTCTAATAAGCAGATTGCTCCTAATCCCAGAAATCTCCACGCACAAAAGTATGCCCCGGTGTCATGATGAACTCATTTTGATTGTTTTTTGCCGTATTCTAGTAACATCATTTGTGAAACTGAAGTTGGCTTTTCAGTCATGCAACAGGTAGGTAATGATGCTTTCCAATGCTCTTTGTGAAATTGATTTTTGTTTCCTTTCCTTTTCCTTTCTAAGGAAATTTATTTGGGCAGCGGGCACGTTCCGCAGACTCACGTGTTTTGCTCTTTCCCTTCTCCCTCCTCCAGAGCAGGACGAGAGAGCGGCGGAGCTGAGCCGGGAGCAGAACGAGAAGACCATCCGCAGCACGCAGACGGCGCTCCGCAACTTCCGCGAGTTCCTCATCTCCAAGTACCCCTCCGAGACGCGGGAGATCTACGTCATCCCCTGCAAAGAGCTCGACGCCTACCTCGCTTCCTTCTTCGTGGATGCCAGGCAAAAGGACGGCTCTGAGTACGAGCCCAACAGCCTGGCCAACTACCAGTGCGGGCTGGAGCGCTATCTCAAAGAGCACAGGTATGGGTACAGTATCACCAGGGATAAGGAGTTCAAGAGGTCCCAGGAGGCTCTAAAGCAAAAGCAGATAGAGCTGAGGTGTAAGGGGAAAGGAAACAAGCCGCACAAGTCCATGAAGCTCACCTTTGCTGACGAGCTTATCCTGCGCAAAAGAGGTTTGTTGAGCCGGTACAATCCCGAAGGGCTCCTGAACCTCGTCTGGCTGAACAACACCAAGGCGTTCGGGCACTGCACAGGTTTCCATGGGTCCACCCTCAAGTGGGGAGACATCCGCCTCCGCGTGACAGAGACCGGGCTGGAGTACCTGGAGTGGATGGGGCCGGACAACGGCGACGTGACGGCCAAGAGCAAGCGCGGCGGGACGGACTCGCGCGTCTACGCCACGCAGCACTCCCCGCAGACCTGCCCCGTGCAGGACTACAAGGAGTACGCGCAGCGGCGGCCCCCGGCCATGCGCTACGAGGACGCCCCTTTCTACCTGTCCATCAAGCCCGTGGTCAACCTGGCCGCGCTGCACTGGTACAACTGCCAAGCGCTGGGGAAAAACAAGCTTGCCAAGATGGTAAAGACCATGTGCGAGAAGGGCAACATCCCCGGCAGGAAGACCAACTTCAGCGTCTACCAGAGCTGCAGCACCCTCTCGGAGGCACAGAGCAACCAGCTGGTGCTGATCTGTAACAACCTGAGCCAGCAAGCTGCCCAGTCCATGGCGAGCCACCCCAACACCGGCAACTTCATCGTGTCGGCTTCCTACGACTCCTCCTCCGACACGGCCTGAAGGAGGGCTATAAGCCCAACAGTTTATTCCTTTCCTTTCCGTTTCAAGCGTTGAGTTTGTGCCCAATAATACGCATCAACTGTGATTGATTGTACACTGCTCCCCCCGCCTCCCCCAGTCCTCTCAAGTGTTAATTCACTTTATAAAAATATATAAATATATAATATATTTTTCTTCTTACAAATAAGTCAATAGAAATAGTTTAGTAATACTAACATAGTATTTATAGTGTTAATACAAAAATGAAAGGTACTTATGTGTTATGATATAATTGCAGATTTTTAAAGGGCAGAAGTGGTTCTCAGGCAATAGAAACTGCAAGATAAACTGGAAATAATCATTTTCAACATGCACATGCCAGTGAGGGTAAATCCCCAAGGAGGCTTACACATAAATTCTATTTTAAAGTTTTTTTTCCAAATTCTTATTTTAACCTCTTATTTTAACCATTTTTAGAATGGAGAAGGCAAACTTGTCACTAGCTGCTGCTTCTTATCTGCTGGCTTATTCTTGGTCAGCAGGACCAATAAATAAGAGATACATCAGTGACAGTTTGTGAAACCATTTAGAACAATTTCTGTCTATTTCTTGTTTTGTTTCCTAGTGCTCATTTATACTAGTTGAAAAAAGGAATCCCGAACTCAGATAACAAGTATTGTTTATTTTTTTTTGATGATGATGATGATTTTCAGTGGTCAAAATGTCACTGGCCTTTAGTCTAAAAAGTACTGTTTTCAACCATATGCAAAAGTGTAATGGCAAAAACAACAACACTGTTATATATGTAATATTAACTGTTTAAAGTAAACACTGGTCACTAGTATTTTGTCAGTATGTATACTTAATGTAAAATCTACAGACTTAGTGACACTCTTTAAGTATTCTGGGAATACAAGAGTGCAAAAAAATTCACAGTCTTTCCCAAACCATGCAGAAAAAAATGCATCAAATACATTTTAAACCATTATTTGAGTTCCTCAGAAAATAAAATAGAGAGTGTAATCACAGTTTTGAGTTTAGTTTGGAAAATGAAAAGGCCAGATAGTTTAAGCACTGGAAAACAACACTGAACTAAATTCAGCTACACAATCTATTTCCATTGCAGACAATGAAAAATGTGTTTGCAAATCTGAAAGCAGAATTTGGGCCTTAAAGCCGTGAAAAAATGAATGCTAGTTTTCCAACCTTTCAACTCTGCAGTGTAAGTGTTCTCTAAGTACAGAGAAGACACTAACAATTAAATATTTCAATGAACCATTGTAATTCTCAAACCTTTAAAATTAGGTATGTTTATTTCTGTAGTAATTCAACCAAGTTTATTCAGCAATACAGGTGGAAATGTTCTGCTAGGATATTCTAGTGCTGTGAAGATAAGACTTTAGAGAAATCTACTGAGGTGATCTAATGTCCACTGAAATCAGTGAGAGGGTCAGCAGTCTCAGGGGACTCCCCATAGATGTTGGGTCAGCTGTCACTGAGAATTTTTTCATGTGCAGCTTTTGTTTTAGATTGTGTTTCTTTATGCTTGCTTGCTGTTATTCTTTCATATTTTTTCATATTCTTTAAATCTGCAGCTGTGCAGTGAATTTAATTATCACTAGTTCCAAAGAAAAGGTGAAATAAAGGTAGCAAAAAGAAGTAAAAATAACCTACCAGGTGCCATTTAAAACTTGCTTTGTGTGTGCTAGGTTGGAACATTCCTGCCTGGAAGGAGGTGGCAGAATGTCTGCACCTCGTTTTAGCCTTATGGAAGGTGTTTTTGGAGGATGTGGGGATAGCAGATGTTCCACTGGTAGGTCTAAGAGCAGAGATGTCTCGTGTAGCCAACTTCTGGCATCATCTACAGCTTCTTTGCGGTTGGCACTGTCTGACCCTCTTCTCCTTGTGCTCCACACAGGACAAAGCCGGGATGAAGTTTTGGTTTCCTGCATGCCGCCTGCCACCTGTGCCTGTGTTTTGCACAGCACGATGGTAAAATCGCCAGATCTGCAGTCTCTTGCATCCGCAGGGAAGGCAGTGGTGTGGAGGGCACAAATGGACATTTTTGTTGCAAAGTCTGCACGGCTTCTCAAGAGCTGAGCTACTGAAACCAGGGCCTGCTGCCTCTGTGGCTTCCAGGCCATGGCAAATCCGGCTCTTAAAGGAAGGAGAGGGAAGACAGCCAGGCAGGTGTGGGGTGTAGTGAGCAAGGCAGCTGCCCGGCTTCTGCATGATGCCAGCCAGCTGGCTGCTGTTAGCGCAGCCCCGTCTCTTCATGGAAGTGCCTCGAGTGTGTCGCAGCTAGAAGTGTTTCTGCAGTGCGGGTTTTGCTCTCAGTGGGATGTTGTTTCTGTTTTCTGCTGGGGAGGACTCGCACATTTGCTGTTAGCATGTGCCAGGGCTGTGTTAGTGATGCCGGGGCAGAGCTCCAGCAGCTGCTGGGAAGGTCTCGTCCTGCTTTGCTCCCCCATCCCTGGCCACTTCCCATGGTGGTAGCTACTGCAGCACCTTCCCCACCTTCCCATTCCTGTGCCTGGGTCCTCTTCTCCTCCTGCCCCTCGTGGCTGAGAGGAGTTGCCTTGAGCTCGTCTTGCAAGGGGGAAGAAGTCCCCCCATGCTGCAGCTGCCTCGTGTCTTTGCTCAAGCTGCACAGACTGGGCCTTGCAAGGAAATGGTTTCTCCCACCATTACGAGACTAGGGGATTGGAGGGGCTACCCCATGGGTGTCATTCAGTGGGTAGGGCTTAGGCTTCTTGCTTCAGAGTGGGTTGCTTCACATGGCCTGTTTAGCATGGTAATTGCACGGATTTTATTGTCTCCAAGAGGCAGATTGGTGGCAGCCTGTTGTGCTCCAGGTGGGTCTTTGAAGTCCTGATTCACACCAGTGCTGCAGTTCAGTCTCACCACAGACTTTGGCTGCATGGGCAGGAGCCAAAGATGCTTAAGATGACCCAGGAGTAAGAAAGGGGCACTCCTGGATTTTGAGCTGGGAGGGCATTTCCCACAGTTTGGGGGTTTTTTCAGCCCTAAATAAGGTGTTGCTTTTTGTAGGAAACAGTCGAGAGATGGTTTGTGCCTAGCCAGTGCTCTGGGTGAAGTAACGTCTCTGATGATAACGTAAAATTAGCAAGACAGGTCAGCAGCTCGGGCTTGTCTGGTTGGGAGATGAGCTGTGGGATGTGTGTGCTTGTTGCGAGAGCCTCGGTAGTCGAAGCGTATTTGTCCTTTGCTTGGTGGCATCTCTGTTAACTCCAACTTCCAGCTGGTGCTGATGGCAGACTGCCTGTTGAATCCTGACAGGGCAGCCCCAAACAGGCTGCTTCGTGAAGCACGGAAACACACACGGCCAGAATGTGATACTCAGGCAGTATCATGCCCCCGAAATAGATGTATTGGCTTTGAAGAGCATTTGGTATTGTCCAGTCTTCATCTGTGGGCAGCTGCAAGGAGTTGAGTGACTTTAGCTTATTGAATTGCCCTTCTTGACGTCCCTCAGTGCTGTTGGACAAATGGGAGGAAGGTTTCTGGTTTGAGTGACGGACGTGTTGTCAGGAGGCTAAGACAGATATCTCAGTTACTTTGGCTCAGATGACTGGTGGTAACTCAGCTGTTGTACCTGTCCCTCCAGACGCCGACTGAGGCCTCCAAACCTGCCCGCCAGCAGGCTGCGAGCTCGGCGTGCTGCTTCCCTGCAGATAAGCCGTGGTGGAGGTAGCGCTGCCGCCTCCTGCGAGCTTTCCCCTGCCTAAGCGCAGGGCTGGCCGTCCCCACCGCGGCTCTGGTGACCAGCACCTTCCCCATGAAGCCAAAGTGCAGTTTGCAGAACACCGCAGCGCTCCCGGCCGACACGCGCGGCCTGCAGGCGGTGGCACCGCCTGTGTGGGTGCTCTGCAGGAGGGTGGCTGTGCCCCTGCATAAACCTGGTGTTCAAACAGAGCTGCTGCCCTGCAGCAAAGGCACGGGTTCTCACAGGGAGGGGTAGCTGGCTCCAGAGGGGCTCCTTTTCCTCTCGTCTTTCCCTTCCTTCTTCTTCTCACTGACCTTTCTGTGATCTGGGCACCTTCGGTGATTCAGTTAAACTAACTAGCCTGTCAGAATACTAATACAGCAAAAAAGGAGGCAACCACCTGGGAGGAAGAGAGGTAGAGTTTGCCCTTGCACTTCCCACAAACACTCATGCCCCTTATGAAAGAGCCCGAAATGCTGTGTGAATGGATCTGCACGGGTTTGGAACAGGCCTTCCCGGGCATCCCTCTCCGGGGAGCTGTGACAGCCGTCCAGGCTCTGCCTGGTGCATAGTACATGGTGTGCGTGGTGGGTTGTACATGGTGTGCGTGGTGGGTTGTACGTGGTGTGCATGGTGGGCTGTGCATGGTGTGCGTGGTGGGCTGTGCATGGTGTGCGTGGTGGGTTGTACGTGGTGTGCGTGGTGGGTTGTATATGGTGTGTATGGTGGGCTGTGCATGGTGTACATGGTAAGTGGAACATGGTGTGCATGCTGGGTGGAAGAGGGGAGACCTTATCACTGTCTGCAACTACCTGAAAGGAGGTTGCAGTGAGGCAGGGGTCGATTTCTTCTACAAACTAAGTACTGAAAGGACAAGAGGAAACGGCCTCAGGTTGCAGCAAGGGAGGTTCAGGTCAAGCATCAGGAAGAGTTTCTGCATGGAAGGAGTGGTGAAGCCCTGGAACAGGCTGCCCAGGGCAGCGGTGGAGTCCCTGTCCGCTGCAGTGCTCAGGAAAGGTGCAGATGAGGTGCTTAGGGATGTGGTTTAGCTGCAGGGTGCTTAAGGGGCTTAAGGTTGGGCTTGATGATCTCCAAGGTGTTTTCCAACCATAGTGATTCTGTCATTCTATGCACTGATCCATCCTCCTTTGGACAGTAAGTGGCTGTGATTGACTGGTCGGGTTTTCCCGTCATTGACATCCCCGCTCCTTTCAGCCTCCCAGTTCTCTTCCCTTCTCCCTGCATTTGCAACATGGGGAAAGGGGGCTGCTGTTTGATGGATAGTTCCCTCCCT